GGATACTGGCAGATATGAATGGTGGACAATTCCATCCATAAAACTGCCTTCCGATCTCGGTACGGATCGTATGAGTATTTGGTAATGCCGTTCGGACTCACCAACGCACCGACAACGTTCCAAGCCGAAATGAACTATATTCTACGGCCACTTTTGGACGAATGCATGGTGGTGTACCTGGACAACATCCTCATCTACTCACACGACTTGAAACAGCACGTCGAACACCTGCGACGCGTCTTCGAGATTCTTCGACGAAAACGATTCTACGTCAAACTGTCCAAAAGCAAATTCGTCCTCGAGAAAGTCCAATTCCTAGGACACATGGTGAGTGCTCAAGGAGTTCACGTCGACCCCAAGAAAATCAAAGCCGTACGCACGTGGAAGACACCCGAGAACGTGAAGGAGTTGCAGCAGTTCTTAGGCTTCGCTAATTATTACAACAGGTTCGTGCCACAGTACGCAAAACTCGCAGCACCACTCACGAATCTGCTAAAAAAGAACACGCCCTATAAATGGGAGCCGAAGCATTAGGAAGCCGTGGAGCAGCTTAAACAAGCACTCAAGTTCGCACTAGTACTCATCTTGCCAGATCCCGAACGCGACTATGTCATCGAAGCTGACGCCAGCGACCAAGCAGTGGGAGCAGTCTTGATGCAAGACCAGGGGAATGGACTGCAACCAGTCGCCTACCTCAGTAAAAAACTACATGGGGCAGAACTAAACTACCCGATACATGACAAAGAGGCCCTTGCTATCGTCATCGCCTTCAAAGCGTGGAGATGTTATCTCGAAGGACGAAAAACAACTGTCTGCACCGACCACTGCAGCCTGAAATATTTGAAGACACAACCAAACCTTTCCAGGAGGCAGGTCCGGTGGATTGACTTCCTCGAGACACACTTCCACTATGACATCGTGTACAAGCCCGGACACAAAAACAAAGCAGACGCTCTTAGCCGGTCTGCACACGTCGCCGCTCTCCAGGTTGAGAGGATGAATCCACTACTCAAGGGACTCTTCACACACGGGTACACCATCGACCCCGAAATTCCCTTGGCAGAGAAGCGACACCTGCTACAGTGGGACAACGACATGATGCCACCTACCACCAGCGGTCATGACGCCATCCATATCGTCATCGACAAATTCTCTAAAATGGGACACTTCATCCCGACACACACGACAGCACGCACCGAAGAAATAGCACAACTCTTCGTTCGCTACATCATCTCACAATATGGCATTCCAACCACAGTCATCTTCGACCGAGACCCCAAGTTCACTAGCAAGTTCTGGAAGGAACTAATGTCTCTGCTCGGGATCAAACTCGCCATATCATCCACCTACCATCCGCAGAAAGACAGACAGCTTGAACGCCTCAACCAAATTGTCGAGAAACTCCTCCGAGGAGCCTGCAAGGACGAGATCTCCAAATGGGACTTACACCTACACGTTATCGAGTTTGCTACAACAACGCTACTCATACCGCTACTAGACAGACACCGTTCTTCCTCTACTACGGATGCCACCCACTCACACCACAGAAACCGACAACATCAACAACAGTACAACCAGCCACGATTTCATCACAACCATGCATCAGCTTTGGGATCGGACCCACAAGCGCCTCCTCAACATCCAACATCAACAGACGCGCCATGCCGATCGCCATCGCAACGATCACACCATTACCATGGGAAACCAGGTGCTCCTCGACACCCGTAACCTTGACATCAGCCATCTCCCATCTAAACTTCGACCACGCTTCTGCGGGCCTTTCCTCGTTGACTCACAGGTCACTCCTGCTACCTTCCACTTACGCTTGCCAGCTACCTGGAAGATTCACAACGCCTTCCATGTCCAACTTCTGAAGCCCTATCGGGATCCCAACACGATCTTCATCGGACGCCAACCGCCGCCGCCACCGCTCGTCCTCGTCCAGAATGAACCCGTGTACGAGGTCGAGTCCGTGCTTGCACACCGCCGTCGTCGGAATGGCGCCGTGGAGTTTCTCATTCGTTGGAAGGGTTATATGATCCTTCTGAGGACAGCTGGGTACCTGAGACAAACATGGGTAACGCCCATCGTCCTCTGCATGACTACCTTGTCAAGCAGGGTGTTACTTCTAGCACCCAGCTTTGAGGGGGGGAAGTGTGGGAGTACGATCCCGTTACACCACTTGTCCCTTTCCCTATTTGCTTTCTATTCCATCTCTCTTTTTATCCCATCCTCTTTGGATTCCTATTCTCCAAGTGTGAAGGAACTGAAGACCGAACCTCTGAAGGAACTGACGCACCAAGTGTGACTGAGTCACAGTGATGGTGCATGCTGCTCTGTCCCTGGAGATCTGCAGGCCAAGATAGCGGCGCAGCTCTCCAAGGTCAGTGCAGGTGTGTTTCTTCAGCAGCTCGGCCTTCACGGAGGCAAGTGCGTCCCTGTCAGCAGTAGCGAAGACCAGGTCGTCTATGTCACAGGATCGAATGTGTCGAGGAAAGGTTGCACTATCGATCAGTACAAGGCGCTTTTATACTTCCAGAGTACATCAGGTAACCAAGTTTATCTTATCCTAAGGGAATAGACCCTTCTAGAAGATAGAATCACCCTGCGTATAGCCACGCGAGGCTATTGGCTTTAAGAGATTACGGCAGGATTACGCTAGATAGCGTGTCTAGAACATTCCATGCGTGGTCGGTGATATAATTATACACTGAGGGAAAAAACCGTCCGGATGTTTGGCAATAAGTTGGGTTTTTAGGCTTTGAGACTACTGTATGGTAAACCTGCAAGATGCACGGTGGTACATGTTGGGAGAGGCACAAAGTGGATGCGTTCACTACACTAAGAACTAGAATAGTACATTGGATCTAACTCATACTCCAAAAGATATACAACGAGTACATCCGGACAGTTTTTTCCCAGGACAAAGAGCAAACTTCCGAACAACGTTTCTAGTACCTAGTCCACCTACTCTTGGCGTTGATCACCATCCACACCCTCCTAGGCATGTTATCTATGTGGTTAGTGCAGACCTTTGCATGAAGCTTCTTGCACTCTTCCTTGACCCACCATTTTGCATAAGGGGTGAGCACAAGGAAAATTGCGAAGTATTTGAGCGTATGCATAAGTATTGTGCACGAATTCAGATTGAATGTAATCTCTGAGACTAGCCAAGCCGAGGGGTGTCCAAAGATGCCATTACTTGAATGGTCCCGGCTTATCATGGGTTGTTTTCGTCGAATCAGAGTAGGGTGAAATCACGTATAGAGTGGCAAAATCTAGCATACCCGCCACGAAACTTAGGGTAACAGAGCACGGTCGATTGAGCATCCTTTCATTGTTAGAATCATGTTAAAATCCGCGAGTCTAGTGACAGTGCATCAGTTGAAGAAGTCTCGACTGTTTGGGAAGAATATCAGGGTTGAGGTCTGGTGAGGAAGAGGGGCACTCCAGAGCTACATATCCATGCTCTCCGAGCCATTCCAAGCCTAGGCAGGGAAAATGACATGGAATGCCTTGGAGAGCATAAGTATGTTGCGCTGGAGTGACCCTTTTTCTCACCAGACCTCAATCCAGATATTCTTCCCAAACAGTCGAGGTTTCTTCGACTGCTGCCCCGTCACTAGACCCGCGGATTTTAACATGGTTCACACAGTGAAGGATGTTCAGTCGACCGTGCTCTGTTACCCTAAGATTCGTGGCGGGAATGCTAGATTTTGCCACTCTATTCGTGATTTTACCCTAGAACGATACGACGAAGACGACCCATGATAAGCCGGGACCATTTAACTAATGGCATCTTTGGCCACCCCTCGGCTTGGCTAGTCTCTGAGATAACATTCATTCAGAATTTGTGTACAATACTTATGCATACGCTCAAATACTTTGCAATTTTCCTTGTGCTCACCCCCTTATGCAAAATGGTGGGTCCAGGAAGAGTGCGAGAAGCTTCATGCAAAGGTCTGCACTAACCCCATAGATAACATGCCTAGGAGGGTGCGGATGGTGATCAACGCCAAGAGTAGGTGGACTAGGTACTAGAAACGTTGTTCGAAATTTGCTCTTTGTCTTGGGAAAAAACTGTCCGGATGTACTCGTTGTATATCTTTTGGAATATGAGTTGGATCCAATGTACTATTCTAGTTTTAGTGCTGTGAACGCATCCACTTTGTGCCTCTCCCAACGCATACCACCATGCATCTTGCAGGTTTACCATACAGTAGTCTTAAAGCCTAAAAACCCAACTTCGTGCCAAACATCCGGACGGTTTTTTCCCTCAGTGTAATAAGGGAAGAAACCAAAGGATAATGGAAAATGGGAATATGAGGCAAAAGGAGGTGAGATAAAAAGAGGAATGAAATGAAGATGAAATATGGAAAAGGCCAAGTGGTGTAACGGAGTCGTACTCTCACACTTCCCCCCCTCAAAGCTGGGGTGGTAGAAGTAACACCCTGCTTGACAAGGTAGTCATGCAGAGGACGACGGCGTTACCCATGTCGGACTCAGAGACCCAGCTGTCCTCAGAAGGATCATAACCCCTTCCAATGGATGAGAAGCTCCACGGTGCCATTTCCGACGACGACGATGTGCAAGCACGGACTCGACCTCGTACTCGGGTTCGTTCTGGACGAGGACGGGCGGCGCGGCGGCGGCTGGCGTCCGACGAAAATTGTGTTCGGGTCCCGATAGGGCTTCAGAAGTTGGACGTGGAAGGCGTTGTGAATCTTCCAAGTAGCTGGCAGGTGTAAGCGGAAGGTAACAGGAGTGACCTGTGCTTCAACGAGAAAAGGCCCGCAGAAGCGAGGTCGCAGTTTAGATGGGAGATGGCTGATGTCCAGGTTGCGGGTGTCAAGGAGAACCTGGTCTCCCACGGAAATGGTGTGGTCGTTGCGATGGCGATCGGCCTGGCGCTTCTGTTGCTGTTGAATGTCAAGGAGGCGCTTATGGGTCCGATCCCAAAGTGGATGCATGGTTGTAATGAAATCATGTGCGGGTTGGACTGTAGGTGATGCTGTCGGTTTTTGTGGTGTGAGTGGGTGGCATCCGTAGCAGAGGAAGAACGGCGTCTGTCCAGTAGCGGCATGTGTGGCATTGTTGTAAGCAAACTCGAGTACGGGCAGGTGCAAGTCCCATTTGGAGATGTCGTCCTTGCAGGCTGCTCGGAGGAGTTGCTCAACAATTTGGTTGAGGCGCTCGGTCTGTCCGTCTGTCTGCGGATGGTATGCGGATGACATGGCGAGTTTGGTGCCGAGCAGAGACATAAGTTCCTTCCAGAACTTGCTAGTGAACTTGGGGTCTCGGTCGGAGATGAGTGTAGTTGGGATGCCATGCTGTGAGATGATGTGACGAACGAAGAGCTGTGCTGTCTCCTCGGTGCGTGCCGTCGTGTGTGTCGGGATGAAGTGTCCCATTTTGGAGAACTTGTCAATGACGACAAGGATGGCGTCATGACCGCTGGAGGTAGGTGGTAACCCGGTGATGAAGTCCAGGCTAACCACTTGCCATGGTAGTTCTGGGACAGGAAGAGGCTGCAGTAGTCCCGCCTTTTTCTGCTTGCTGCTCTTCATCCGCTGACATGTATCACACGAGGTGACGAATTTCTGGACGTCGTCTGCATATGGGGCCAGTAGTAGTGTTTGGCGATACGGTGAGCGTCTTGTTGCTACCGAAGTGTCCGGCGTACAGGACGTCGTGGTATTCTTCGAGTAGTAACTGGCGCAAAGGAGGGTAATTGGGTACCCAGATTTTTGTTGATCCTTTCCGGTACGCGATGTCATTGTCCCACTGTAACAGATGTAGCTTTTCTGCCAATGGAATTTCGGGGTCGATGGCGTACCCGTGGGTGAAGAGTCCCTTGAGTAGTGGATTCATCCCTTCGATCTGAATCGCGGCAACGTGGTGCAGGCCGGCTGAGAGCGTCTGCTTTGTTCTTGTGGCCGGGCTTGTACACGATGTCGTAGTGGAAGTGTGGTCTCGAGGAAGTCGATCCACCGGACCTGCCGCCTGGAAAGGTTGGGTTGTGTCTTCAAATATTTCAGGCTGCAGTGGTCGGTGTAGATGGTCGTTCGTCGTCCTTCGAGATAGCATCTCCACGCTTTGAAGGCGATGACGATAGCAAGAGCCTCTTTGTCGTGTATCGGGTAGTTGAGTTCTGCCCCGTGCAGTTTCTTGCTGAGGTAGGCAATGGGTTGCAGTCCATTCCTCTGGTCTTGCATCAAGACTGCTCCCACTGCCTGGTCGCTGGCGTCAGCTTCGATTACGTAGTCGCGTTCGGGATCTGGCAAGATGAGCACCGGTGCGGACGTTAGTGCTTGTTTCAGCTGCTCCACGGCTTCCTGGTGCTTCGTCTCCCATTTGTAGGGCGTGTTCTTCTTCAGCAGATTCGTGAGTGGTACCGCGAGTTTCGCATATTGTGGCACGAACCTGTTGTAGTAATTAGCGAAGCCTAGGAACTGCTGCAACTCCTTCACGTTCTCGGGTGTCTTCCACGTACGTACGGCTTCGACTTTCTTGGGGTCGACGTGAACTCCTTGAGCGCTCACCAGGTGGGCCTAGAAATTGGACCTTCTCCAGGGCGAATTCGCTCTTGGACAGTTTTGACGTAAAATCGTTCTCGTCGAAGAATTTCGAAGACGCGTCGCCAGGTGTTCGACGTGCTGCTTCATGTCGCGCGAGTAGATGAGTATGTCGTCCAGGTACACCACCACGCATTCGTCCAGAAGTGGTCGTAGAATGTGGTTCATTTCGGCTTGGAACGTTGCCGGCGCGTTGGTGAGTCCGAACGGCATGGACCAAATACTCGTACGATCCGTACCGAGTTCGAAAAGCAGTTTTGTGGATAGAGTTGTCCGCCATCCGTATCTGCCAGTATCCGACCGCAGATCCAGTTTGGAAAATACCGTGGCTCCCCGAAGCACGGTAGTCGATGCACATGCGCAGGCTTCCGTCCGGTTTCGGTGTGAAGAGTACTGGGGCACCGTATGGCGAAGTGGATGGCCGGATGAGTCCTTTGGCTAGGAGATACTCGATCTGTTTTTTCATGTCAGTCAGCTCCGTAGGCTGAGCCGATATGGTGCTCGGAAGGTCGGCTTTCGAACCCGGTTCCTCCACGATCTCGTGTTGATGCGTTCGGTATGGCGGTAGCTCGTTCGAAAGATCGTCAGGAAGAATACTTGGAACTCCTTCAATAATTCCTTGATTTTTCTGGAGTTTCCGAGGCTTCCTCTCCCATCATTCTCCCACCTCTGTTGGCTATCGCCAGGAACCCGGTGTCGGTCCGCTTCACATCCTTCTCGAATCGTGCGAGTGTCTCCACTGGGATATCTCCAGTATCGTCCCAGTTGGGTAGCTGTACTCTCCGTCCATTGTTGTAGATGCTTGCCGGTGCGGTTCACCCAGTTGATCTCGGGTTGAATTTTTTCAGGAAGTCTCGCCCCGAAGATCAAGTCAAGCCCTTTGATGTTGGTGGATGGGGAGTGCAGGTCTCCAGCGCAGTGGTCCAATTTGTAGGTGGTAGCACTGCTTCGCCGTGTACTGGTAACTTGCTGCCATCCACCATCGTTGCAGAGAATCCTGAAGGCTTGTACTTCTTCCCGAAGTCGGTCGATCACTGCCTTGTCGCAGACGGTGTGTGACGCTCCGATGTCCACGAGTGCTTGGAGGCGTCGTCCTTTGCAGATGACCTCGAGCACGAGGGGCAGTCGTTGCTCGGAGTACCCAAAGATAGTTTCATTGATTGGGTCATAGGGTACATCCAATACTCCGTACACACCTTTGTGTTGCTGTCTACTCCTGAGCTGGCAGCTGGCCGAGGCTGCTTGGAGAACGGCTCTTCTCCAGGGCCCGGAGTTTCCTTGACGACTGTGCGCGTCACTGATGCCGAAAGAACTGGATGCATCCGTAGGAGGAGTTCGGGGTTTGTGCAGCTTCTTGTAGACCCCCAGCTTCCTCTTGAGCTGCTTCAGCTCCACCGACGTCTTCCCTGGGGAGCGGGTAGTCGTTGTGGGCTGGTGTCGGGAGAGGACGTTGACTCCGTGGAAAGGTCGGCTTCTTTCCACACTCCTTAATTTGGTCCCCCAAGTTGTCCGGTACCCGGTATAATCTCCACAGCTGTCTGCTTTTTTTGGAGTCCCTCCCGAATTTTCTCCAAGGCTCTAGCCCCTCGAAAATCATAAGTTTTCATTAAAGCATCTTTATAGGATAGCTTTAACGAATTCTTATAATTTCTTGGGTCTTCAAGGAGTTTCCCTGTCTCGGCAGAGTCTTTTTTCGCGGAGTCGTATTTTTCCTCGGCGATTTTCCCTGGCGAAGACTGGTCGTGGGGTGGAGATTTTCCCCCATCATTTCCTCCTTCTCGCGTCGAATCAGCTTCGTCGAAGTTGATTTTTTCGGAATCCCGCGGCCGTTTCCGGATCTTTTTATTTTCGCCAGCTAGATCCGCAATCACTGGCGACTCCCGTTTTTTGTCTTCTGATTGGCCGAAAGATTTCCGCCACTGTTGCGTGCCCGATACTCTGCGCGTGCGGCCTTCATTTTGTTGCAGTCGAAGATTCGGTGGCCTGGCACCCCGCAAAAATCACACGTGTAGTTGGTGTTTTTCGGACGTGGCCGCCCTCGAATCTGTCGACTTCCATCGGGTCGGCGAACGTGGTGTGAGCCGAGCGGTCGCCCTGTCGCGTACTGCGACGTGCGTCCGTCGTGTTCCGGCGTTGACCATGTCGAAGCGCTCCGCGGCCGAAACGACGTCACTGTAGCTCGCGTAGTTTGACGCTGCGACTTGTCGTTTGACTTCGGTCTTCAGCCCGCGAGGTACGATTGTACTTTTTCCCCTTCGGTCAGGTCGGGAATGCGGTTATAAAATTCCTCCATCTGCTGCGTGTACTGTGCTACACTCCCGAACTGTCGATGGCGATGAATTTTTTCGGCGGGCAAGGAAACCTGAATTTATCGGCTCGAATCGTTTCAGCAGGTCGGTGTGGAACTGCTGCCACGTGGCTTCACCGTGGATGAAAGTACTGTTGCCGCCAATCCACTCGAGTGCCGGCCCTCGCATCAGTGTCGCCGCGAGTCGTACACGTTGACCGTCCCAGACTGGCGAGCTCCATCCGACGGCTGCGAAGTAGATCTCCATCCCGGCGATCCATCTGCGGGCGTCGGAGTTTCGATCGCTCGGATCGAACGGCTCAGGTGGGCGCGGTTTCGGAGCCTCGAGAAACTGCTGCGACTGCTGCGTCGTCGCCGTTGTCGTCTCGTGCTGCGCTCCGGCGAGTCGAGTTACTCGCTCGAACTGGTTTCGCCACGCTTCGCGATCCGCTCGCATTTCCTCCTGAAGGGCTGCGATGCGCGCGAAGAGCTGCTGGGTAACCTCGGGCGTTGTCGAAGGTTGCCATCCTGTTCAAAACACGCACGGAGGGGGTAATTCGAAAATCGCGGAGCTGGTGCTTACCAGAATCGGCGTCGAATTGGTCGCCCCCGGCGGTTTTTCGAGGCAGGATCCCCGCTGCTGCTGCTTAGCTGAGCGCGGCCGAGTGAGAAAAGCTCTGATTACCAAGTGTCACAGGATCGAATGTGTCGAGGAAAGGTTGCACTATCGATCAGTACAAGGCGCTTTTATACTTCCAGAGTACATCAGGTAACCAAGTTTATCTTATCCTAAGGGAATAGACCCTTCTAGAAGATAGAATCACCCTGCGTATAGCCACGCGAGGCTATTGGCTTTAAGAGATTACGGCAGGATTACGCTAGATAGCGTGTCTAGAACATTCCATGCGTGGTCGGTGATATAATTATAATAAGGGAAGAAACCAAAGGATAATGGAAAATGGGGAATATGAGGCAAAAGGAGGTGAGATAAAAAGAGGAATGAAATGAAGATGAAATATGGAAAAGGCCAAGTGGTGTAACGGAGTCGTACTCTCACAGTCTACGAAGACAAGGATGTAGAACGGAGCCAGGCCGGAACGCACAAAAAGTGAGGGGTCAGCAGATGACGGAAAGAACTGCAGGTCTGCTAGCGTGGCACACAGCGGTCGTGCCACTCGCGGGGAGCCTGGCGCAGGCCGTAGACGGGCGCCTGAGAAGCCACTGGTCCCAGGGGGGAAGGTACCAGTGAAGCCTATGGTCGGTGCAGGTAGACCTGCTCGTGTAGCTGCCCTGAAGAAAGGCAGTAGAGAAGTCGAGGGAGTGAAGCTCGTAGTCAGCTGTGCTGCTACGTGTAGCAGCGCCCGAAGAGTGGTCATCTTCGGGGTCGGGGCGAAGGTCTGGAAGAAGTCAACCCCCTCGTGCTGACTGAAGCCTCTGGCCACGTAGCGCGCCTTGAAGACAGGCGGCTCTCCAGGGGGGCGCTTCACCTTGAAGAGCCACCGACCATCGACTACGTTCATCCCAGGAGGGGGAACTGCGTCGACGTAAGTGCCGGTGGACCTCCAAGATGCCATCTCCTGCTCCATGGCAGCTATCCACTGAGAGGCCCAGGGTCCCGAGGTGGCCTCAGCGTAGGTGCGAGGGGTCGGGATGTCGAAGGCGTCTGGGTCACCCTCTGGGACTAGGAGCATGGAGCAGAGATGGGGAGCGGCCTCGGAAAGGAAAGCAAGCTCGTACTGCCTGTCCTCTAGAACGTCACTGCCAAGGGCAGGTGCACCCCCGACGGACGGAGGACGGGCAGGGTCAGAGACCAGAGCGGTAGCGTAGTCAAGGCGGCGGGTAGAGGCGAATCCAGCGACAGCAACGACAAGCGCGTCAAGGCGCGAGACGGGAACAGACGGGTCTAACAAGAGAGGCAAGAACCCG